GGGGGCCGCCGGCGTCTCGGGGGAAGGCGAAATCGCCGCCGATTCCTGCTGCCCCGCTGGCGGCCCCAGCGCTTTCCGAAAGCCCCAGACCTACCTCCACGAAGATGCTGGATTAAGCGAGGGGAATCCCTGGGAGAGAGCGGGGTTTCTGGGCGCGCCTGTCCGGATGGCCGACGGTGACGTTGGGAGATTTTGCACAAGCGCGGATGGACACACAACAAACGCCTAACTCGCAGACGGTGTTTGCACTTTTTATTTGTGGTAGCCAGAATTCCTTGCAGGGGGATCTTCGGCCTAAGAAGGTGCAGGAAAGATGGCCAAGTGGAAGGGAGACCCGACGAGGCTGGCCCATTAGCACAGAATCGGTCTAGGGAGTCTCCCCCAGGCCATCCGGGCCCCCAGGCTCACCATTGGCGGGGGCGCGGGACCAGCAGTTACGCTGCAGCGCTGCCGCCACTCTAGAAACGACTGCCAGGAGCCCAGGAGTCCGCCTGGGCTTTCGGTAGAGTAGGAGCGGGCGAGAAAGGGGCAAAGGGGCGCCGAGAGCCGCGCGCATCTCCGAGTTTCCGGGGCTGGGCCGTCAGCGTGCGCCAGGACTGCAGCGAAGTCCCGCCTAACCGCCTCCAGGGATTCCAAAAGGGACCCGCCGGCGGACTCCACTCCTCAGTTGGAAGGAGGTGTGGCCCAGGGACCTGCTCTCTGAGATTGAAGGCCAAGAACTCTGGGGTGATCCACACTGTAAACTTCCAGGCTCACATGAAAGCCAGGATTCTTAATGCGGAGAGAGCGAGAGCCTGGAGGCTTTTGCCAGGAAAGATTTGGGAACTGCAGAACATTACAGGAATCCTATAGTGAGAATTAGCCCTTCTGGGGGCCAGTTTTGAGGGGCAAGAAAAGAAGGCGGTTGGCCAAGGCTGAAAAGATGGCCCTCCTCTTGCTAGCTTTCAGAACCAGAATGGTCATCTTCCTTTCTGTCCTTGGGGAGTGTCCTTTCTTCCCAGCATGCGAGCTCTGTTCTCTGGAAGCAGGCGCCCAGTTCTTTATACCAAGATCCATGCAATTGTCTATAATTCCTGCAAATATTGAGTATCTAACATGGGTCAGGCACTGGAGCCAGTTGCTGCCGTTTTGTATGTGAAAATGCGTAGTCCTTGCTTTCTGAAAGATTACTGGCCACTTAAATTTCCCTCCACATTGTGCCTGAAAAGCCAGTGTCAGTATACTTACTGCATGTCTCCCATCTCAGCCTGTACACTTGCCTTTCAAGCTGCTAATGAACATTCCATCTATTCCCTGCCAACTGCTTTCCATCAGAAAAATAAAGAAACAACAACTCATGTAAGATAATTTGTTTACGTAAAAATAATAGCTCATGTGTATTGATTGATTGCTTGCTTTCGGCCTGACCTCCCTGAATTCCTCCTGTAATAATGATCTCCTTTAATCATGCCAATCTCCCACTGAGCTCAGTATCCTCACTACTCCCATTTCACAGGTGATAAACAGAAGCCCAGAGTAAGTATTTGCCAAAGGTTCCCTGCTACTAATTGGTAGGTAGTAAGTGTAAAGATCACAGTCTACCTGCCCGGTCTCAGAGACCTCTTGCTGGCCACGCTCTGTAATGAAGGAAAAGGATCATCTTGGGGATGATACCCTAAACAGCTACAAGTCTACCCAGAGGTGAGATGAAATATAATGGCAGATTCTGCGCTTTAGAACATAACTATTTAAAAATTGGAAGAAGAAAGTGACGAGGAACTAGGCATGTTTGAATGAAACCAAAAAAAAAAAAGAGAAGGCCTGCTAAGTTCCAGGGTTGTTCTTGGCACTTGGAATACAGCAATGAATTCTCCCAGCATTTGGATTCTCTGTGCACATTTTACAGCAGAAAGAAGAGTACTTGAATCATCTCCTGTCGTGCTTCGTTACCATTCCGTCTCTTCCAACTCAAGGACTCATGTGCACAGAGGCTTCTAAGGGATTTCAAGATGGTGACCTTCGGGAAGCAGATCTCTAGTTCCATCTCCAGAGACCCACTGCCCTCCAGTCGATTCCTGTTCTTATGAGTTTTTGGCATAGCGCTCTCCTTGTAAGCTGTGTTCAACATCACAACAGTTTCTGCGGCATTTTCCCCCAAGCAGGATACAAAAATTCACAGCTATGCACTGTTCTCTGAAAGCAGACATCACAAAAAATGCGGTTTGAGCAAAACTGCTTTTACGAAAAAATCCACTGTGACCAGAGAGAACCTTCCCAGGTGAAGCTACTGAGTACACCAACTCAGTATTGCGCTCAGAACCATATGGTTCTTAGGGACCATATAGTACAGGACAGAAACTGCCCAGACTGGAAATCATGACAAGAGTAGGAGGTCCATTTTTGGAGTAGACAGCTTCATCTTTCTCACGTGGAATGGCTGGGGATGTTGAACTGCTGGCCTAGCAGTTAGCAGCCACTCCACCCACTACATCACTCCGGCTCCTGGGTGCATTCAAATCACATAACCAACCTTTTGCCTCGCTTCATGGTTCACACTACGTATGGACTCCTGAGTCACCTCTACACTTAACATGCATGGCTTTCTTTTACAAACAGCCATCTGAACTCATTAGGAAAATGAATTAAGTAGAGGCCTTCACAATGGACTGAATTTTGTTTACTTTAGGCCTTTCTAAAAGATCTTTTTGGGTTTTTTTTCTGACAAAAACAAATGAAAATTTCCATCAAGCTAGGAAAGATTTCTTCTTAGAGATTATTTTCACAGTTTAACAAGCGTGTACCCATCTCCTGATAGCTGCAAAGAATTTCCCTTCACTCCCTTCATCTTTTGCCCCTTTCCTTCTTAAACTTTCTCCACTGCAAGTTCTGCGAAAGTGTGTTACCCATACAACAGGAAGTCATGGCTGAGTCCAAGCCTTAGAGGCCATCCTAGTGGGCTGAGAGGGAGAGAGAGCTGGGGATACCATTGCACTTGACAGAGCAGACACTGCTGAATTCCTTTGGGCTCATTCCCTACTTTCTCCTTCAAAGAGGAAGGAATTCTTCATCCGACTCCTAAAATTTCTAAGAGATTAGCATCTATTAGGGCACCTTCCCCAGAGGCTGGGTACACTGTATTGGGAGCCAAAGCAGATCCATCTTTCTCCCCACCCCACTCCCCTCTTCTTTGCTCTCTTAATCAACCCGAATTCAGGCACAGTAAAACCAAACCTAACTCATGGTCCTGGAGTCAGTGTCAGTTCACAGCGACTCTGCAGGACAGGATAGACTACCCGTTAGTTTCGGAGACTGCAACTCTCGATGGGAGTAGAAAGCCCCACCTTTCTCCCACTCAGGCACAATGGATTAACTCTACGAGTAGGTGCTTTGATCCTCTTCGCCAGGCAATAAATAACCGGACCAGAACAGGGCTCTACTTTCAGACAATGACTGCATTTCTGAGGACAGTCATCGTTCTCCACGTCAAAGGGGAAGGATACATGGAGCCTTCTGTGCGAGAGATGACTTCCAAATTCCAAGTTCTGGATTTCCATGGAGTAGTTGAAAAGTGTGGTTTTAAAGTTATGCACAAACCAGGTTCTCCAATCTGACTATATACTAGAACAGTGGTTCTCAAACTTCCTAATGCAGTTCCTCATGTGGTGGTGGCCCCCCAAACATAAAATTATTTTCGTTGCTACTTCATAAGTAAGTTTGCTACTGTTATGAATCAGGCGACCCCTGTGAAAGGGTCATTTGACCGCAAAGTGGTCAAGACCCACAGGTTGAGGATGGCTGTACTAGAACATCGGGGTCCATATAAAGTTCCAGAGAATGAGCCTTAATCCCCAGACAGGAAACTTGTCTTTGACTTTTAAATGTTATTTACTTACTGTTGTTCAAAGCAAATACTCATTCTACCGAATGTACATTCAGTGACATTAATGACACGGTTCCAGATGTGCAGCTGTTTTCACCCTCCCCGTTGTTTCTCCTCCTGAACATAAGCTCACTGTCCCTGATCTAATTCTGAGAGTCGCAGCTGCCAACTGGACTCCACAGAAGTAATTCCTAACAGAGCAAGGTCAAGGCAGACATTTCTTACTAGTTAAGCTAAAACACTGTTTCTTTTTACGAATCCTTCAGGGGATATTTGGATTTCAGCTTGAAAGATGATCTCAGGACAATGGTAGTTTCGCGGTTGATCTAGGAAGTCTGGAGTCTGTGACAGTGTGAAGCACTAGTTTCTTCTTATTCCGTCTTTGGATGAGGACTCCAGGGTAAAACCCTCAACAACAGGTCCAGTGATGGCAGCAAGGAACCACCTGTTCTTCTGCTTTCGTGGCAAGTTGGTAGTTGTCCAGGGAGGCAATAAGCCACACACATTCTGTTCCCTCCTGTTCCTGGCTTTCCTTATTTCCCTGTTTTTCCAGGTGAATAGATGCCAATTGTGGTACCTTGGGTAGTTGGTTTGCAAGGTTTTTAAGATCCTAGACACTACACACCATTCTAAGAGGTAGGACACACAGTATTAGGCCAATTCACTGGGTTCTTCCATGACTAAATATCCAAATCAAGAAACCACGTCCTGGAAGGTAATTCGTTGTA